CCGCTGCATCCAAATAAAGCGACGATTCGAGCTGTGGTGCTAGTGAGTAGAATGACGAGTCCATTCTTCTCCTTCTCCACAAAATCGATAACCTGAAAGAAGACAGCCTTCAGTTCGGTGCTGAAATCTTTACCTTTCGGCATTGGTGTGATTGAATCAGATCAGTTATTCTTCTGCGTTAGTGAGCGTGTCCCTGAATAGCTTTTATGAAAAGTCGTGGTTATTTATACTGTAGTTTCTATGCTTGTGTGAGTGAGTTCGATTTATTCGTACAACACTTGACACAGTACAGAGAAGAACGAAAGACAATAGAAAAGAGAGAAAAAAACGAAATTAGCGAACGAACATATATCTAGATGAACCAATTGGAAGATACCAAGATATAACGTATACGAATATATTGGAAAAATCCAATATAGAGCATACGATAACACCTTTGGAAAATATCCAATAGAAATATGCTGGAGAAGACCAACGTGCGATATACGGATATTTCCAACTATCACAGGTGTTCTAAAACACATTCCACGAACATCTGCAAAAAAGAAATGCCCAACCAAAGAAAGATCAACAAAAATAAAGATCGAAAACATCTGACAAACAAAATATGAGAGTTTCGGGATGCTAGCAAGTGGATGAAGCGGCTGGATTGATAATTAACGATTTGCTCTTATATAAAACTAAGCACACCACGATGATCAGCAAGGTGGAAAACCTATAAACCGACATTATTCTTGCGGTTAGAGGCTTCAGAAGTGAATTTCCATAGGTGAAAACTGTCCTTCAGGGGGTTTTCTGGCGTCAGACCTGATTTTTCAGGAAAGCATCAAAATTTTTTTTTCTTTGATCAGGATTGTAGAGAAATGTCTCTACTATCCACTGCATGTCTCAAACTTGAAAAATCTAAATTCCCCCCCCCCCCCCCCCAATTTCGACTTTTTCCAGAAAAACCCTCCTCTTCCCCCTAAAAATCGAAAAAAACATTTTCAAAAACATTTTTACAGGAAATGTGGCGACTCCTGTGAGAGATGTATCTCTCGCAAAAATTGTAGATGCATGTAATAATTGAATAGTATGTTATGGAGGACTTTGGCATCTCTCACATCTCTCGAGGCATCTCCAGTATGCCCGAGATTCTGGATATGTGACACCACTCTCATTAGATCATTTTTCTTCATTCTATTCTTATTATCATTTCATCAAAATTTTGCGTGACTGAAACTTGAGTCATAATTAGCTGTATGAACTCGTCATTTATCGGTCCAGATCATTTCGCAAAAAATGAGTACTTTCAGGAACAAAAGCCGAAGACGATTAAAAACTAGGAAGAAATCAAAATCTTCAAAATATGTTCATTTTATAAAAAATTATAGCAATATCGTGTAAATATGCAATCGACCTTGTTTAAATCAAAACTTGCATTTTTTTTTTCAAAAATAGAATCCTATTATGCGCCCAAACCTTCCGTGACTAGGCCTGATCTTGTAGAAATTCAAAACATTGAACGCGGTACTGATTTCGTGCTACCTGGATCCCTATCGTGTATATCTAGCTACGATAGTCCTCTTTTTCTCAGTGTTTTATTCGTTAAATATCGTTAAAATCGAAGTAGAAAAAGAATTAAAAATCAGCTCCTGAATTTAGGAAAATTTTCATCAGGAGAAAAGTTTAAAAGCCAGGAGTCTCTTAGTCAAATCAGGAAATTTAGCAACCCTGATTAAGACCATGCTGGTTTTGCACCGCGTGACTTAAGGCGTCCTTGATAGTATTCAACAAAGATTCTATTAAAATAAGTCACAAATGCTCGCGATAATTGATTGAAATTTACATCTCGTTTATTTCCAGTCGGTCGATACCAAGCTGCACTATAATTAAGACGAAAATCAAAGAATATTTCTGGTACACTGAATGATTTGTCGAGTTCAGAAAGAAGATTTTCTTTTGTAATCATTTGATTCATAGCACTTGTCTCTAAGAATAAATTGAGATGTTCGATAGATTCAGCATTTTTACGACTTAAGGCATGTACCAAATGCACCATAACAACCATAACATCCTTATAAAGTTCCTGTTGATCATGAATAACAGATTCAATATAATGTCCAGCAAAATTACGAATGAATCGAAGTAGTTTAAACACATCAGCATCGATTTCTGTGCGGATATAACGATTTTCATTTGGTACTCCTTCCAATCGATGAGAATCTTCACATTTCTCACCAAAAGTACATCGATTATTGGCGTACCATTGTGGACAAAGGTTCGTTTGTCGATATGAAGTTTGATGTTCACGACGACATTGATTCGAAGACTTCGAACATTTCCCCGTTGTGATCATGTCAACACAGAGTTGATGATCCCAGAAAAGCATTTCTGTTGCCAGAGCACTTTCGGATGTTTCATAAATATAAATGAATAATAACAATCCTTTTTCCAAACAAGTAAAATCAATTCTATCTGTTTCTTTCCAATTGAAATAATAGTTGGCGGTTTGACTGCTGGTTGAATTACTAGGATTAAGAATTGTGTTGCTAGTCTTTTTCGATAATTCATCGATTTTAGATATTTTCGACGCCATTTGGATGAGAATGAACACAGTCGGAGGAATATTTTTATAAATGCCGAATGTTTTCACACGTGTTAAAAGTCATTGCACAACATATAGAGAAGAAAGAAAAACCAAATGATTTTTTTTCTATCGTTCTCTAAACAAAACAGTGGTGACAAACAAGCAAAACTTTTCTCATTCTTGTATGATCTTCTGCGTAAAGAACGCCAATAATGGTGGATAAGGGCGACAGTGATTGAATAATGATCTCTCGCAGTGACTCAATACCGATGAAATGGAGCTGCCAATCAAAGAGTATACGAGGCAGACTTGCATTGATAGGTGATCAACACCCTGAGTTACTACATAGCCTGTGAGAAAATGTCCACTCATGCTGTACAGGCCAGCCTTTCAAAAGATTTTGCTTCATTGTTATAGATGATTGACGTACAAGCACTATTATGGATTATTGAATCATAACCTATTCAACGACAGAAAGAGAACAAACATAAATGAGTGAATTGCGCTGATATTGTACGATTTGACGTAAAACATCGAAAAAAAACAAAAATGAAGATGAAGAATCTTTGAGTCATGCATTTGATAGAGCTTCATTGATTGTATATAAGACAAGTGTTTTTACCCAACTGTCAGTTTTGTGTTTCGAAAAAAAACTCGAGTTTTATTAAAAAATGCATATTTTCCCAAATATCTTGACACAATCAGATTAATAATATTACAAATATTTTGACGAAAAAAAATCATTAAATGAGTATTTATATAGTGTTATCATATATCAATCGAAAGGTTTTGAAACGAAGAATCTAATGAGCATACGCAGAAGTTGATCCATCCATATACATAAATATACTAAGGGCGTAAAGGTGCGGACGACACCATCAGTTCCTCATCCTCACTCCATCCTCAGACTTTTCCATCATCCAAGATAAGACCAATACTCAGTGAATATTCGAAAACGTTTCGCAGATCAAGAAGAGTCGAGTGAAATTGAAAAAGGTGAAATCAAATTCTGTCTTCTAAATATCTATCACTTTAATCTGTTGTGACATTTTGCTACAAAAAAATCTGTTGTGGCATTTTTTGAGTAAAATCCTGTTTTCTCCGGAACGGTATATGCTAAAGAGCTGAAATTTTTAGCACAGGTCTACCATATAGTCAACTAAAAAAGATAAAAACATCATTGGTTAATCTTTTATAATTCGTGAGAAATCAAAGAAACAAAATCAAAAATCTGTCGTGACATTTAGTAGAAAATAGCTACCTCCTTCCTCGTATTTTTAATTTTTTATTTGATCCAGAAGGTCTTTGGAAAAAAAAATTTTTATCAAAAGATTTCTTGCTCTTTACTCTACCGAACTTTAAAAGAAAATTCACGTTTGCTTTTGAATTGGCTTTAGTAGATTGAATTTAATCTGTCGTGACATAAAATGGTCAAAGTATATGTTTGGATAGTTTTTGCAAGATTTGATCGGTAAATCGAAAGCGAAGTTATGATCTACTTATGTGGGGTGTGGGTGTGGGTGTGGGTGTGGGGTGTGGATGTGGGTGTGGGTGTGAGTGTGGGTGTGGGTTTGGCGAGTGAGAAAACAAACCTCATCATCACTGACCCACACCCACCCACACCCTTTTTTGTTGAAAAATTATTCACAACCGTTTGAATTTCTAATAAACAAAATGTATTATAGTCAGATCATTTATTCACACAATTTAATCAGTCTATCAATAACAATTCATATCTTTTGTAATCGTATAAGTAACCCAAATGGAACTACACTCTGTCGTGCTTTTGTTTTCCATTCATTGTTTTGAAATGATTTCGCATCTTCTTTGACGGTAATATCATCTGGATGTTGCTTGCATTGTAACACTACTCGAACGTAATAGTTATTTCCGTCCCTTGCTTTGAAATTTGAACGAACAGTAAACTTAGGTTGACTAGCATACGTGAGTCAAGCGCATGTGGTACAATGTTCACGATCTGGATGACCACTGTTGAGCTGAGTTCTGTCGGCGAGTTGATCACCATCTAATGGAATATGGCGGCAGCTTAAAATTGCTGACAATAGATTTGGTGATGTTCCTTAATAGCTTGTTTTCCACCCTCTAAAAATGCTCCATTGTTTTTTATGAGCTTCATTTAGTTGAAGACCGAGTCGAATCCAACCATGAAATTCTGTGGATTGGTGTCCACATTTTGCATCGGCGTTTGAAGGATCATGGCACTTTCTGCAGAAGCATCTGTCGTACTCTTGTTTAAAGTATGCCTGCGAAAGGCTCAATGTCTTAATCTAGTCCTTACAAAGAGGTTTTCGACACTGAAATGGTGGAAGAACCGCTGAAGGTTTTGGCAAAGCCACATCATTAGGAGGACGA